ATTTCTTTTTAGTTTCTTTTGTTTTTTCATGTTAAACTAGTTTGATAATGTGTCTTTCAATTGAATTTGTTAAGTCAGCATATCCAGCAAAGAGGAAAAGATTATTCTTTGTATTTTTTGCTTGGCACGATGCATTGTCATTTTAGACTCAACTCCTGGTAGTTTGTTGCGTCCTTAGAAGTTGGAGAACCAAAATCCATACATCTGTGGTAGACTTGGTTCATACTCGTAATTTCTTATGTGGATATGGTTTGTTCAAGTTACCCTGGACTCTAAATGGAGTGAAGGCCATGGTCGAGTGTTATCCAACGAAGTCCAGCATGAACATCATCCTTTCTTTGCATTCACGCACGCACACAAATGTAGGCACTCTCCTTTTGAGAGGAAAGGAAAATACGCAGAGGTTACTGTTTCTTGAATCGAGAGTATAGTAGTCTGGAGTTTGTGCCAACGACATTTATGAGTAGTATTAGTTTCTCTCAAGATTGTCCTCTTCACAGGTTAATTTATTGTGTCACATTATCATCGCTGCGATGATTTGTACATTGTAGAGCATATGTTTCTAATGGGCAGTTCTGAGTATCAAACGTAAAACGAGGCTTTTCTACTGTTTTGACATCTGAACATTTAATTTAGATTTAGCTTTTTGAGTTGGTTTTCTCAAATAACTTGTGATTGATTGAATTAAAATAATGTCTCCTGTTACTACTTGTATGGAAAAGGGTCAATTTAAATGGACTAATGAAGCTAGTAAAAAGTTTTATCATGATTAAAAAGAAATTATGTTCTGCTCATGGTTTAGCCTTTCTAAATTTTGATAAACTGTTTGAAGCAGAATGCGATGCATCCATAGTTGGCATTGGAGGTGTACAGTCGGAAGAAGGTCGGCCGATAGCATTTTTCAGAGGAAAACTATCTGAGGTAAGAAAAAAATGGACAACGTATGAACTAGAATTTTATGATGTGGTCCAAGCTTCACAAACATGGGAACACTATTTGATTCAGCGAAAGTTTATTTTTTATACTGATCATCAAGCTCTTAAAATCAGTAAATAGTCAGACTTTTATCGATAGAATGCATGCCAGTTGGAGCTCTTTTATTCAACGTTTTACTTTTGTTATGAAACAGTAGTCAGGAAAACTGAATTGACTTGTAGATGCTCTCAGTAGAAAAACAGCATGTTTGTTGAACCTGCGTGCTGAAATCACAAGATTTGATTATCTCAAGGAATTATACTTAAATGATGATGATTTTTCTCAACACAATATATGATATGTACGTCAGGAATATCAACTAAAGGTAGTTTTCAGTTTATATTTCCTTGAGAATGTCAAAAGAATGAACTTTTTTGCCAAAATCGGTTATTTTCTTTTAAAGGAGATCGAAAATTCTATGTGAAATTTGGTGGCTATTATGTCCATCTGAGAATGCAGTAAGTTCGGTTGAAGAAAAGTTCATCTCTCTTTCTTATTTACCACAGTCTTTGTTTTGGGACTGACTATGTCCGCTCTGTGCTAGTAAACTCTAAATGTCTCTGAATTGCCGAATCTTCTCATCCCTAACGATTTTCTCGGTTCTAAACCTACATCCATCTTTTGAATATCACATGATTTAGGGTTCATGCCATGATAACGCTAGAATTTTCATTGGTGTATATAGAGGTTAAACCTGTCATGAAGAGTAGAGGTTACCATCCTTCCATAGTTAGTCTATTGGCCCATTCTTTCTATGATATATCTAGTTTAATGGATATCCTTCCACATCTTTAACTTCTCCTAATATTACCGGTTTAAAGATCTCAGAAGCTAATTTTTCTAGGGTACTTATATTTGACTTCTTTCATGCAGAACTTATGACCATCTAAAGCGAAGCGTCAAGTTCCAAAGGACAGCTCGAGAACGATATTAAATTTGAATCCCCCTGCTTAATTCTCATCTTCCAGAATAATTTTCATTCAAAAGGCAAATTTATATCTCTAGTGTTGTTATCGTCATGTCTTCCATTCTCTGTGTTTACATGCTCATCCCAAATTAATGTATCCCTATATGTCTAAAAAATATGTACCAAATAACTTGTACGTTGTATTTCGCTATCTTGGTGATCGTGAAAATGAAGGGATAATAGTTCGGCATGCCCTTCGGTAAGAAAAGGTTCTTTTTCCTGCCCATTATCCTTTTAAACTGTTGCACAAGTTTACTTGTCTAGATACGTGGTAAAGAAATATGAGAAAACGAAGATCCTTCTGCATCGAATCTCTTCTTCTCGCCTTTTAAGTAGCCTCTCTTAAGACCAATAGACTGTTCCGGGAGATTTGACATCATTCAGTCTCATAGCTCCCGCTCTGCAGAGAACAGCAAAATAGGGCTACCAGCATGTCGTTTGTGCTTTTTCTGTGCCACACAGTTATGATTTAAATTCCTAAATTCCAACTCAGGACTTCCAGACATTAGAGATGCTTTTGATGTTAATACTTACCAAATGTCAGACCCCGGATCTTCTATAAATACATGCGTTTCATTAGTTACTACTGTTCACCTGGACTAATTTTCCTTTTCCGATTCATTTTCATAAAAAGACGGTTAAAATTTTTGCTGCAAAGAATGTGTATGCTTCGCTTTGTCTTTGTGGTCTAGCTAAAAGAAACATGCACTTGATGCCTTTTAGCTTCTTTGATGCTCACTAGGATGTTATGAAAGCGGAGAACAGCGTCACATCCTCTACATTGCACAGAAGGGGCAGTCCCACCTCTCTATATCCTATGCTTTCTCAAAATCCAGTTGGAGAATAGCACGTTATGTTTCCATTGATGACTTATATCCTAATATATTTTCCTAATTCTCATGAACTCCTCAAATTATTCCAAAAATTAAAAAATAATTTAATTGTATCAGTTCCTCTTTCTTTAAATTCATCACCATGAAATATAGAATTTATGTGTACTTAAAGCTGATTTTGCTGAAATTTATTTATTTTTACGATTTTATTCCTTCAATGACCAAGATTATTCCAAATACTTGGCAGCGATGCATTCCTTCAAGAAAATTCTGATCCACTCAAGTAAATAAATAAAAATGAGAAAAAAATAAACACATATGGTCAAAATACACAAATATGTTCCCTTGAATGCTATATTATTTTCATTGGATGATATTTTAGGATAATCTAGGTCATTAGAGGAATTTATAAAATCATAAAAAAAAGATTAAACTCTGTAATTATGATAAAATTGTATTAACTTAAATTTTCACTTGTCTCAGCTTTATTTTAGGTTTAAACAAACTAAAAATCTGTAATTATTTTATAAGCGGGATGAAATGATAATAATTAATCATTCTTAAATTTCTGTATGATAAAAACTTATTAAATTTCCAACATATAAAATTTTTTACAATTTTTATATCATCATAATTGAAAATTTATATTAACAATTAAAAAAATGTAATACTTTGAACAAATGGTCCTACATAGAAGAAATCTGGGAATTTCGTATAAAATGGATAAAAATAAATGATTAAAAATAGATTGAATTTTTTCAGGAATTGATGCAAATTATGTGCGATAGAAGTGAACAAAACTACCTCTCACTTAACTTTCTTATATACATCCCTTCCAAAAAAAATTATTTTTTAGAATATAGATTAAATAAAAAAATATTTAAATTATGTAAATATAAAATTTATAAAACTAGAAAATAAAAATTTTTGAATTTTAAAAATATTTCAGAAAAAAAAATTAAATAATTTGATAAAATATACCAAGTCAATCATAGGGATGTAAGTTAATATCAAGTAATATTTTCAAATTTTCTTAAAATAATATAATTTGTTATGATTTTTATACAAATTAATAAATATAAAGTAGATCTAAAAATTTTAAAAAAGAGAAATAAGGGTGTGGATGTCAAGATGACATCAGCATTCTGATGAACACAAATTAGGTAGAAATAGAGTTCTACCTTGTGATTCTTACATAAGCGATTATAAATGATTTCATTGGTCAAATTAAGATTTGAAAAAGTAAGAAGAATCACAATAGAATGAAGAAGAGTTTTGAAACTTGAAATCACACAAAGTATCATTAAACTAAGTAAATATTAAGTTTAAAACAAGAAAGGTAGAGTTACGACCTCACGATAGTAATTGCTGAAACCCTATGTGTTTGAGAGGATTATTAAATAATGTCTATAGCTTTAATGGCTTTATTTGAACATGAACAACCTAAGTATTTACTAAATCTACTTTCAAAGTCTAAAAAATGATGAGGAAAGTTAAATTATTTAAAATAATAGTAAAACCTAATTTTGGCATTACGGTGATAATGCGTCAAAATCTTGAACATTCAAGAGGATTATCGTGCAATGTCCACAACCTCAAAGGCTTTTCTTAGACAAAGACGATGTAGACAATCTCTAGATCTTCTTGCAAAGTCTAAAAATCAATAAAGTATGCTCATGCTCATGTTCTCATTCACGATCAGCCCTCTTATCCCTCCCCCTTCGGAAAACTATGATTGTTAATTTAGTCCCACATCAATTATATGCCGAGTATTAAGATGAATATACAGTAATATAAGATTTTAGTCATTGATATTTTCCTTTCTCATGTGCGTACAATCACTCTTTGTCTCACGTTTGGCTGCCACTAGTGATGTAGAAGGAGAGTAATGCATGATAATCTGAGCAATCATCATACTAAAGGGGCAAGAAGGTTAGTATTTAAAGCATAAGTAATATAAGAACATGATGAGTACACATTTAATACTCTATGTATGTATTTTCACATGATGGTTTATGAATTGTATCATTTTCCTATTTTCTACTTGGATGAGAGTATCAAGATAAATGAGAAGAGAAATATATGATTAATAGTTGTTAGAGGGAAGAGGACTGAAAGATAATCATGATACATGAGCATACATATATTCCTAGTTTTATCATAGACTATTGAAAACTTAGTGAAGATCTAGAAATCAAAAGAGGACCAGCCCCCGGCTGGCACCCTCATTCACAAACAGCCCTCTCATCCCTCCCCTTCTTCTTTTGGTGCATCCCTCTTTTATTGTGGGGATGGCCTGCTCCTCCTCTCCCCCTTGGCACAACCTGCAGCACACCATAGGTGGCCCAGCTCATCCCTTCCCCCCCTTCCGATGGTAACAACGCCAGCAATGATCGTGGGTCTCCTCCTTTGGCACAACAAGAATAAGATCAATCGAAGACACCCCTGCGTGAGGTTGCAGTTCTCTCCCCATGTCCATCATAACAAGAGGGAGAAATCATTTTCGTTTTGTTCCTTTTACTTTTATGTAATCAAACCTCTTTTATCTTAGTTAATACAATCTAAAATTCATGAAATTCTATCCCCTTTTGCCTCATCAATTTTGAATAGCCGAAGTCGTTGAATGAAGTGGGAGAATCATCCCCACCAGTGATCCGTAATTTATTTACAAAGTAGCTAGTTGAACCTTGAAAGAAATCTTCTTCTCAACGTGAACTGAATATTTCTATTCATGGTTGTCAGATTTCAAAGAGTAAAAAAATCAGAATATAATTATTAACTAATATACATCAACTAATTCAAAACTCTCCTTATGTTCAACCTGGTTTTCTATTAATTCTTATGCACACATGTCCCCTACCTATCCCTCAACTACTCGAGCTCCTTGATGGCGACTTTGCTTGACTAGACTTTTGACCCTCTTGTAGGCCCAATTGTTTGGCTTATTCCCCCCTTTTTCTATCTTTTTATTTTATTTATTTTCTCTTCATTTACCTCAAAAATAGGAGTATAAAAATTATATAAATTCATATAAAATAACATAATTAGCCAAAAATTCATATTAACCAACTATTTTTTTCATAATTTAACATAAATATAAGTCTATTTATTATTATTTAAAGTTTAAAACATATAATTAATTAATTATTAACTCATGATAATGAAGCCTTATCACATGCCCTTCAACAAAAAAATTATTTTATTATAATATATATTAAATAAAAAAATAAAGAGAGATCTGAATCAGAGGTAATAGATTTGAGGTAGAATATATTTCTTATCCTAAATAGATTAATTACTAATCAAAATAAATATTAAGATATAACACTTAATAAATAATATAAAGGTAATACACTCAAAATATACGGTTATATTGTATTTTCAGATCTATAGGGTTTTGAGAAAAAATATATCTTTAGGTATATATACTCATAAGTTACTAATTTTTGAGGTCTCTCACGTGACTTAGTCATTGTATAATAAATCATGCAAATTTAAAATTCATAAAACTAGAAAATATTAATTTTTAGATATTAAGATTTTAAATAAGTATATCAATTATAATTCAATAAAAGTTTTAAAAATAGTCAAAAAATTTCAAGTCAATCATAGAGATGTAACATAATATCGAGAAATTTTTTAGAATATTTATTGAAGAATGATTTTGTATGAATTTTAGATTAAAAAATAAAAATGAAATATTTTTAAAATTTACAAAATAGAGAAATAAGAGTGCAGACGTCACAATGACGTTAGTGTCTAACAAATATGAATTGAGTGAAAATAGAGTTATGCCTGGTGAACCTTATGTAAGCGATTTCAAATGATTTAATTAGTCAAATTAAGTTCTGTAAAAGCTAAAAGAATCGTAATTGAATGAAAAGTAGTTTGGAAATTTTAAATCACATAAATTGTCTCTAAATGAAGTAAAAAGTTAAGTTGAAAGTAGGAAAGGCAAAGTTCTAGCCTCGCAATAGTGATCTTTGGAATTCTCTGTGTTTAGGAGGGTCATCGAATGATGTCCACAACCTCAAAGACTCTTTTTGGACATGGACGACCCTAGGCATTCATTAGATCTCCTTTCAAAGTCTAGAAAATGATAATAGAAGTTAAATTAATTAAAATAATAAAAAAACAAAGTTCTAGCATCGCAGCACCAATGCGTCGGCAATGCATTAGAATCCTAAGCATTCGGGAGGATTGTTGATAAGTCTTCATTCTCATGAGTTAATAATTAGTAAATAATATAGTTTTAGCCTTAACTCATGATAAATAGACTTATATTTGTGTTAAAGAATGATTTTTGGTTTTCAATTGATTAACGTGAATTTTTGGGTAATTATGTGATTTTATACGATTTTTACAGTCTTACTTTTGAGATAAATGAAGAACAAGAAATAAAAATAAAAATATTGCAAAAATGGGGGGACCCACCGGCCAGCCGTGCCTGCAAGCGGGTCGAAAGCACAGTCGGGGAGTAACCCGCGAGCAAGGGCTCGAGCGGCTTGGCTTGGAGACCGACAGGGCACGCGTACGCCCGCCACTACCCTTCCACGTCACCGGTGGCCAGCCGACTGTGGGGCAAGGAGTGGTCATACACGCGAGAGAAGAGACTTTGCTCACAAAGCTAACATTACTATATATTCGCCCGAAAAATCGGCGTACAACCGATGTGAGACTAAACCCCCGTCACACCTTCCTCAGAAGAGGCGGGCGACCGGCGCGGGTTCGAATCCTCCCAGAGTCAAAATTCATATATTTTTATCTGATTATCACGACTTTCCTGCAGATCGCCGGTGAAGGATTAAGCAACAAGAATCGCTGGATCATCGGCGAAAATCTCGTCAACGCGATTCGTGGAGCATTGCTACTAAAATTACTAAACGATTCGCGATAAAAGGATCGCGAATCCATCGAGTAAATCATCTCCGATTGATCGACGAACAAGCCGTCATCGAGAAGAGGACGATCTGTCGGGAGACCAGTCGCCACCTCCTAAGAGCGTACCAGATGCGATGAAGAGCCTCCTCTTGCTGCGCGGACCTGAGGATGAAGCTCCCTGACACGCGCCCCACCTCCATCCAGCTCCTCTCCGTCGGGTGACAGCCGCCGGAGAGCCGCAAAGTCGCCGTTTTTTCATCTTTGTCCAAGGAGAGCCTTCGAGGCCGTGGACACTACACGACGATCCTCCCGAACGCTCAGGATTCCGGTGCATCGTTGACGCATCGCCGTCGCGACGCCGGAACTCTGTTTTCCTGCTTTCAATTTAATTTATGCTTTATTTAGTGATACTTTTTGTGATTTTAATTTACCAAACTATACTTCGTTAAATTAAGATTCTTCCAGCTTTTATAGATCTTAATTTGATTAATTAAGTCGTCTATAATCACTTACGTAAGAATCGCCGGGCGGAACTCTATTTCCGCCTGATTCGCGTTTGCCTGGCACTGACGTCATCCTGACGCCCGCACCCTTATTTCCTTTTTTTCGTGAATTTTAAATATATTTCCTTTTTATTTTCTAGTATAAAATTCGTAAGAAAATTGTATTCATTGAGAAAAATTCTAAATAATTACCAGATATTATATTACATCCCTGTGATCGACCTGGAAAATTACCACTATTTTTGGGATTTTTATTGAATTATAATTGATATATTTATTTTGAAATACTTCTAAATATCCGAAAATTCGTATTTTCTAGTTTTATAAATTTTATATTTGCGTGATTTAACATACAACGACTGAGTCACGTCAATTGTCTTGCAATATCTATGGCCTAGAAGGCTCTCCTTAGACAAGGATGACTTCGACAGTCTCTAGATCTTTTGCAAAGTCTAGAGATCAATAAAATGGGTCGTCGAATTATCTCTAGTGATTGTCACCCAATGGAGAGGAGTTGGATCGAGGTGGGGTGCATGTCAGGGAGCTTCATCTTCATGCTGGCATAGCTAGAGGAAGCTCTACATTGCATCTAGTATGCTCTTAGGAGGTGACGACTCATCTTCTGGTGGATCATCCTCTTCTTGATGATGGCGGATCGTCACATCTAGTGGCTTGTTTTACTTTGACAATGGCTTGTTTGACACGGATGATTTACTCAATAGATATGTGATTCTTTTATCATGAATCATGCATCAATTTTAGTAACAATGTTCTGCGAATCACGTTGGCAATATTTTCATTGATGATCGAGTAATTCTGGCGACTTAATTCTTCATCGGTGATTTGCAGAAAAGTCACAATTTAATCAGATAAAAAAGTGAGTTTTGGCTCTAGTAGGATTTGAACTTGTGCCGGTTGCTTACTTGCATGAGAGAGAGTAAAATAGGTACTCTAATATGCTTATAAAGTGATGTCATCATGATATATCGTTGTTATAACAAAGGGATATTTTAGGTTTTTAAATGTTTGAAATCATTTTAGGGAATGTGTGACCGTCAATTTAGTCCCACATTGGTTATATGTTGAAGTTTTAGATGAATATATAGTAATATCAAATTTTAGAACTAATCAGTCCCTTTCTCACATGTGTACGACTACTTTTTGCCCCACAACTAATTAGCCACTAGTGACGTGGAAGGGGAGTGATGCACACATGCCTCAATCAGTCCATAGCTGCTCAAGTCCCTACTCACGACTCTACCTTAACTGCACTTCCAACCTACTTGTGGCTGGTAGGTCCCCCCTTTTTTCTATTTTTTTATTTTATTTTCTTTTTCTTTATTTATCTTAAAAATAAGATTATAAAAATTATATAAATTTATATAAAATCACATAATCAATTAAAAAATCACATTAATCAATTGAAACCCACTTTTCATAATTTTACATAAATATAAGTTTATTTATCATGAGTTAAGGCTACAACTATATTATTTATTAATTATTAACTCGTGATAATGAAGACTTATTAGTCTCTAATGAAAATGTTTATCATTCATAAACCTCAAAATATAGAGAGAGAAAGAGAAAGAGGAACACATAGAGAGAGAGAGAGAGATGCTAGTAGTGGCCACTAGAGTAGGGCAATGCTTCTTCCACTGCCTCTCCCTCCTTCCATCATCTTCATCCTATTCCTTCAATCTCACTAATGAGATGCAGGCATAGAAGTTGAGCAAATTGTCAATGAGCTACTCAACCTAAACAAAATCAAGAGATATGACTACTCCATCCTCTTCCATCTCAAGTTGGGGTTCAATCATTGGGGCCCTACCAATAGAGGGGTCCAAATACTGTCTTCTAGCAATGCCAAGACTAAGAATAGAGTGGTGGTGGCAAAGAAGATGACCTTCAACCTAAAGTTAGAGAAGTTTGACGTGGCAGTGAAGATCATAGTGATCAAGGAGATGAGGGGTGATAAGTCTTCATTATCATGAGTTAATAATTAGTAAATAATATAGTTTTAGCCTTAACTTATGATAAATAACTTATATTTGTGTTAAATTATGAAAAATCGTTTTCAATTGATTAACATAATTTTTTGGCTAATTATGTGATTTTATAAAAAAATATAATTTTTATAGTCCTATTTATTAGATAAATGAAGAAAAAAAATTAAATAAAAATATAATAAAAGGGGGGGGACTTGTCAGCTAGTTAGGCCACAAGTGGGTTGGAAGCATAGTCAAGGGGAGCCATGAGTAAGGGCTTGAGCTGCTAGGACTAATGGGGCCAGATGTGCACCACTCCCCTTCCATGTCACTAGTGGCCAGCTAGGTATGAGAAAAAAATAATTGTACATGTGAGAGAAAGGGACTCATTACTTACAAACGTGATATTACTATATATTTGCCCAAAACATTAGCGCACAAGTAATATTGGACTAAACCTACATCACACCTTTCCCCGAAAGACTTCGAAGATTTTAATACTTAAACTATCTTTTAGTTATAACAGAGATATACTATGATGATGTCACTTGATAAGGGCATTAGAGTACTTCTTTTAATCTCTCTCATATAAGTGGGCAACTAGTGCGGATTTGAATCCTCTCAGAGCCAAAACTCGTATTTTGATTTGATTATTATAACTTTTCTATAGATTATCGGTAAAGGATTAAGTTATCAAAATCATTAGATCATCGGCAAAACTCTCGTCAATGTAATTCGTAGAGAATTGTTACTAAAATTATTGAACGATTCACAATAAAAGGATCATGAATTCATCAAGTAAAGGATCTCTGATTGATCAACGAACAAGCTATCATCAAGAAGATGACGATCTGCTGAGAGACAAGTCGTCACCTCTTGAGACCATATTGGATGCGATGAAGAGTCTCCTCTTGCTACACAGACTTGAGGATGAAGCTCTCTAACATGTGCCCCACCTCCATCCAACTCCCTGACATGTGTCCCACCTACAAAGTCACCATTTTTCTACTCCATCAAGTGAGAGCCGTCAAAGAGCCACAAAGTTGTTATTTTTCTGCTCTATTAAGTGACAGTTGTTAGAAATGATTTGACGACCTATTTTATTGATCTCTAGACTTTGTAAAAAGATCTAGATATTACTCATGTTGTCCTTATCTAAGGATAGCCTTCGAGGCCATGGACATTACAGAACGATCCTCCCGAACACTCAAGATTCTAGTACATTACTAACACATTCTTGTCGCAACACCAAAACTTTGTTTTCCTACTTTCAATTTAATTTTCACTTCATTTAGTGATAATTTGTGTGGTTTAAATTTACTAAGCTATATTTCATTTAACTACGATTCTTTCGACTTTTATAAATCTTAATTTGATCAATTAAATTATGTGTAATCATTTACATAAGGATCACTAGGTGGAACTTTGTTTCTACCTAATTCGTATTTGTCAGGTGCTGATATCATCCTAACATCCACACCCTTATTTCCCTTTTTCATGAATTTTAATATATTTTATTTTTATTTCTTAGTATAAAATTCTTAAAAACTCATTTTCTTCAAAGAAAATTCTGAAAAATTACATGATATTATATTACATCCTTATGATTGAGCTAAAAAATTACCAATATTTTTAGAAGTTTTATTAAATTATAATTAATATACCTATTTAGAAATACTTCTAAATATTCAAAATTAATATTTTATAGTTTTATAAGTTTTATATTTGCATGATTTATTATACAACATCTAAGTCACGTCAAGGGGTTTCATAGACCTAGGGTTGAGGGAGGTGAAAGAACTAGTGGAGAAGACACTTGTGGTGGTAAAGAAGCAACTAACAAAGGAAGAGGCAGAGAAGATTGCTACCAAACTAAAAGAAATCAGGGCTACAATTGTCCTGAAGCGACATTAGATCTAGGAATACAATGCTTGAGGAAATATCTTTCATTCTGTAAACTAATTGGACTAATTTTTCTCTAGTGATATGGTGAAATAGGTCATCGAGCATTTCTTTGGTTCTCCTTCCATCTTGATATTAGATTGTTCTCTTGATGAAAGGGAGTTTTGGTGTTCTGGTTTAATCGTCCTAGGGTTTCCTCTACCATCCTCATTGTAACCCTTGCTATAAAACTTTCAAAGTTTCTCGTGTACTACCATCTTCAAGCATTTCCTAGGGCAAATACTAGATCTCTCAAATTATCTGATTCCTCACATTTCAATTCAAGCATCTAAACTGAGATTACTTGGATCAGAAAAGTAGTTTTATGCTTTGAATTTCCTTTTGTTGAAATGTATCATACTTTTTTTAAAAAGAAATCGGAAGATCATAGAATATCAACCTGTAGATGGGCTATTAAACCACCATGTTATGGTGGTAATTGTGTACTCGGGTTGTTACCTAGATTATTACAAAATATCATTAGGTGAAAATAATATAGCATTCACTAGAACATATTTGTGTATGTTTACTATATGTGTGAATTTTTTGCCATTTTTATTTATTTACTTGAGTGGATCACAATTTCTTTGAGTATTTCATGAAGTTTAATATTTTAGAGAATGTTTTGGATTTTTTCTCTAATTTTTATAGTCATAATTGATTTTTTATTAATATGACAGAATTTCAAGAATTTTTGATATCTTTTTATGGTTTTTAGTAAAGCGATATATGCTTCGACAGACGAGATCTGATATGTGGAGATGAGGCAATGGAATCAAGAGCTAAGGCATTGACACGTGGCATCATCAAATGAGGAGATTGAAAGTCATCGAGAATGTCCACAAAATCAACGGCAGGTGGAGCATACTTATCGAGGGTGCAGCGGATCGCAACATTTAAGAAGATTCTACGACTATGACAAGACTTTCAAATCTAACGACTCAAATCAACTTGAGAAGAAATGAGTCTCACCTGATCTTATCACAGCCAAAAGGATAGAAATGTCCTCATTTAATCATAGCCCTACACATGTACTCTCATCCTCTCATGTAAACCCTTATGCATTTAAGCCGCCATTTAGGGGCGTAAGAACTTAACTTCAAATGTCTTGACATTTAGTTGGTTGAATGAAACCACATTGAGGTTCTTGATGTGTTCTGCATTAATCTTGATGTGTTCGAGTTGATTCAAGCTTTGTTTCGCAATTGAGATTGTCGGAGAAGTGTACTCAAAGTGGAAATTACTTGACCTTGGTGAAATATAGAGGTCCAAGGTAAGTTTCTCTAGGTCTGATGCATTCTAAGTGTAAACAACAATCTAGCTTCCATAGGTTTGAATAGATAGATATATAGTGTTATATATTTCTTCCGACTTTTATAGATCTTAATTGACACACCTCCAATTGCGAGGTATGGAGCTTGGGACCCTTCAAACCCTCCTAGGATGGCAACTGCCTGAAGTTCTACTAAGATAAGCTAGGTTTTTCATCGTTGATACATGGTATGTATATGATGGCGCCCCTCCTTGCCTCTCTAATTCTTACAATGTATGATTAACCATTAAATCCACAGCTGAGCTGCTCCATTCTTGTGTGAATGGTGGATCCCCTTTCACACCATCTCATGTGCCTCTTGATAAGTATGTATCTTGATCGTTGAATCAATGTTTTCTTTCTTTTGAGTGAGCATTGGATCCTCCTTCTCCTCTCTTTGGATGATGCCCTCTAAGTGAATATGGGCTTTACGCCCATAACTCTTCATTTGAGCCCACTTCACTTGCTTCTCCTTATGTGATTATGAGCCTTGAACTCGTGATTCTTCACTCCATGACCAAGTGCAATCTTTGCTCCTTAAGAAGTTGTATGTTATGTTGAACATATGAAGCTCACATGGTTAGAAGACAAGGAATTACATCATGTTTTCACACGATGTACACATGGTATCTAAAAATGTATAATTTAATGAGAAACAAATGAAATACATAAAATGTGTATGAATGTCAATGTGTCCTAAACATGAGAATTCATTAGTAAATAAATGAATTTGCATCTTAAAATCATAAGCTTTGATATGATATACCTCATATATAATGCATTATTTATGCATTATCAATCGCCTCTCTTTTGAACTCATTTAATTTGAATAGTAACTAAGTACATCTAATTCTCATTCCTTGTGGATCAATCTCGAGCTTATCATAATACTTACCTATGTTAGTACTTTTATTTGGTAAAGTCGTGATTATAAATATTTTTTTAATCAATTGATTTTAAGGCTTTCGACAACTCTCGATTTCATTTTATCAACTACCAAGTATTTAGAATAATTTGAGTCATTGGAGGAATAAAATAACAAAAATAAATAATTTTCTATGAAAAGTATCTTTAAGTACACATAAATTCTATATTTGATAGTGATTAATTTAAATAAAGAGGAACTAATATAATTAAAATATTTTTTAATTTTTTGAATAATTTGAGGAGTTCATGAGATTAGGAAAAATATATTAAATTCATTTTCCCCTTTTCCAGCTTTATTTTAGGTCCAAAGAGTTTAAAAGCTGTAATAAATTAATGATTAATTAATGATTCCTTACATTTCTACATGATAAATATGTAATAAATTTCGAATGTATAAAATTTATTAACATTGTTATATCATCATAATTGAAAATTTATTGTGAAATAAAAAAAATGTAATAGTTGGATTAATTTGTCTATGTAGAAAATCAATGAATTTCATATAAAATGAATAAAAAAATGAATGATTAAAAATAGTTTGTTTTTCTTCAATTACTGATGCAAATTATGAAAGATAGAAGTGAACTAAGCTACCTCTCACTTAACTTTATTATATATATGCCCCTAAACATATCAATTATTATTTTATTTAAATATATATTAAAGTTTGCTTGAAGAAAGAGAGATCTAAATCAGAGGTATGAGATTTGTGGTAGACTATGGTTCCCTATTATAAATGAATTAATTATCACTAAATTGAAAAATAAGATACGACACTTAATAAGTAATGTGAAAGTAATAAATAAAAAAAATAGGGCCAGATTGTGTTTTCAATACAATATGTGAGGTTTTGAGAAAAGACACATTTGAACTATCTACATTCATAAATTATTAATTCATGTGAACTAAGTTTTCTATAATAAATCATGCAAATTTAAAATTTATAAAACTAGAAGATATCAATTTTTGGATTTTTAGAAATATTTTAAAAAATATAAATCAATTATAATTAGATAAAAGGTTTCAAAAATAGTGAGAATTTTCTAGGTCAATAAAGGGATGTAATATAATACTTGATAATATTTCAGAATTTTATTCAAATAATATATTTTTTATGATTTTTAAAATATAAAAAAATATATTTAAAATTTTCAAGATTTCAAAACTAAATGATGAATAGAAAATATATTTAAAAATTCACAAAAAAGGAATTCAGGTGTGGACATCATGATGATGTCATCACCCCTTGACAAACCCTATTTGGACAAAAATAAAGTTCCATCTAGTGATTTTTACATAAGTGATTACAGACAATTTAATAAAATTTAGCTCTGTAAAAGCTAGAAGAATTATATTTTAATGAAGAATAATTTTGAAACTATATATCAAACAATATATCACTAAAATAAGTAAAAATTAAGTTGAAAGTAGAAAAGACAAAGTTCTCACTTCGAAATAATGATCACCAGAATTTTATATATTTAAGAGGATTGTCGTGCAATGTCCACTACCTCAAAGACTGTACTTGGACATAGATGGTTGAGTAATTTTCTAGATCTTCTTGTGAAGTTGAGAAAATTATTGTGGTAAGTTGACAAATTATCTTTAACGATTGTCACTCAAACAAAGATGAGTTAGATGGAGGTGGGTGACGTGACTTAGTCATTGTATATTAAATCACATAAATCTAAAATTTCTAAAACTAGAAAATATGAATTTTCAAATATTTAGAATTATTTATAAATAAATATATCAACTATAATTCAATAAAACTTCTAAAAATAGTAGTAATTTTCTAGGTTGATCATAGGGATGTAATATAATATATGGTAATTATTCCGAATTTTTCTCAAAGAATAATATTTTTTATAAATTTTATACTAGTAAATGAAAAGAAAATATATTTAAAATTCATGAAAAGGGAAATAAGGGTGCGAACATCACAATGATGTCAGCACCCCAGCGAATGAGAATCGAGTAGAAATAGAGTTCCACCTGATGATTTATTTGTAAGCAATTACAGACGATTTAATTGATCAAATTAAGATCTATAAAAGCTAGAAGAATCATAATGAAATGAAGTATATCTTAGTAAATTAAATCACACAAATTATTACTAAATGAAGCATAAAGTAAGTTGAAAGCAGAAAAATAGAGTTCCAACATCGTGGCGGTGATGCGTCAGTGATGCACCAGAATCTTGAGCATTCGGAAAGATCAACATGTAGTGTCTACGGCCTCGAAGGCTCTCCTTGGACAAAGATGACATGGGTAATCTATAGATCTCCTTGCAAAGTCTAGAGATCAATAAAATGGGTAGTCGAATCGTCTCTGATGGTTGTCTCCTAACAGAGTGAAAAAATGGCAACTTTGCAGCTCTCCAATAATTGTCACCCAATGGAGAGGAGCTGGATGGAGATGGGGCACATGTGAGGGGGCTTCATCTTCAGGTCCGCACAACAAGAGGAGGCTCTTCATCACATCTGGTACACTCTCAAGAGGTGGCGACTCATCTCTCGATGGATCATCTTCTTCTCGATGACGGCTTGTTCGTCAATCAATCGGAGATACTTTACTTAATAGATTCGCGATCTTTTTATCGCGAATCGTTCAACAATTCTAGTAACAATGCTTCTTAAATCGTGTTGATAAAATTTTTGCTAATGATCTAATGATTTTGGTTGCTTAATCCTTCACCGATGATTTGTAGAAAAGTCACGATAATTAGATAAAA